TTTTGGTTTTTATCTTTTTGAGACCTGTTTGATCGATCTCGGAAGGAAAATTCTGCGGTAAATGCAAGTCGAAAGAATCTTAATCCAGGTTGACCTAAAAGGGGTCTTCCATTCAGTTGACCGTGAAGCTCTTATCGAGTCACCGCTCCGTCAAGGAGTGCCGCGAATTTACTTCCAGGTGACAGACTATCTAATCTCGAGTGTGCAGACGACATTATGCTATTAAATGAAGATCCAGGTAAGTTGCAGGCTTTTCTGGATAGTTTGAATGCCAGCGTAGCCATGTTCGGTATGCGTTTTGCACCTTCAAAGTGTAAAACGTTGCTACAAGTTTGGGTTGGTCCAGACCCCAACCTCACCATGACTGGGGAAGTAGTAGACGAAGTAGACAAATTTTGTTATCTGGGCAGCTATATCTCACCCGGTGGACGCATCACGGATGAAGTGTCAGCTCGCATACAGAAGGCTGGTTTATCATTTGCCAACTTAAGACATCTGTGGCGCCGTCACGACATCCGGCTGTCTGTGAAGGGTCGAGTGTGTGCCGCGGCAGTTTGGCCAGTGCTGCTTTACGGTGCAGAGACTTGGCCATTAAGATAGACTGTCAGTGTTTGGTCACGCATTGCACGAATCTGGTGGAGCAGCCGCACGAGCAATACTAAGGTTAGGCATAGAGTTTTAGTCATTCGCGGTCGTCCACTGGAGCAAGTGATCGACCACTATAGATTACGTTGGATGGGACATGTGTTACGCATGGCACCAGATAGGTTGCCGCAGCGAGTGCTGTTTGCCAAGGCTGGTAGCGGATGGAAAAAGATCAACGGTGGTCAAACTAAGACCTGACATGAGGGCATGAAAACCCTAACCGGAAGACTAGGTCACATAGGCACCGTCAGGCTCCCTGGCTGGGGACCTCGGGATGATGGTCACCAACGGTTAGAGACACAGTGATATGGCTGGGTGTCGCAAACAGTGGCGTTCGTGCATCCACTCATTATTCCCCTATGACTATTATATATGAATTCTCCATCTTCCGCTTGAATTTGCTTTCAACATTCGGATCTTCATTCTGCTCGTTTATCCAAATGTGGCACCAAAAGGCAGCAACAAAAACCGGTGCACGAAAGTGCATGGTTAATGGTTCTAAAAACTGAAAAACTAATCTGTGTGTGTGTGTGCATGAGCGATAGCGACTATTGATCGAATAGACCGAAAGCCAAATATTTTATACCAATGACTTTTCACTTCATTATTGGTTCACTAGATTCCTTTATTTCTCATAGCTAACTAAGGTACGGCTTAAAAAACTGAACTGGACTGAATTGTGCCTTTATATAACTGTGCAGCCTCTTTGTGACACACTTAGTCTCATCAACTTTACATGAATTCTTCTGATCATGAATGTTATTTCTTTCGAATGGACGTTACTACAAATAGAAGCGTAGCTGAATATTTTTTCGTCAATTGTTGCAGTATTCACTTTGACCATGGAGTTTATAAGCGAATATAAACAGCTTAATGTATAATTTTTTTCTTGAGTCAAATTCATCAACTTATGCAAAATGCCTAGTCCGTCGAGAAATTCAGCAATTTTCAGAATTTCACTACTGTACTACCTAGAAAAAAGAAGTAATTTTTATTTAAAATGACCACCCTGTACTGGTAAATAATCGATTTCTGTTTGACAGCATCTAGCTATTGTCTTTTTCTATTCGGTTCCCATTGTTCTTCACCGTAGAGGTTTACGAGGAAGTTTGTGCAATGCGAGAAGCATGCGGTAACCGGGCCCATCTAAAAACCATTTTGGCGGTCGGCGAACTGGGGAGTTACGCAAATGTGTATGCGGCGTCCATGACGTGTATGCTTGCTGGTGCCGATTTTATCAAAACATCCACGGGCAAAGAGGCGGTAAACGCCACACTCCCGGTGTCTTTGGTCATGGCTAGAGCTATACAGGACTACGAGGACTTGTACGGTGTCAAAGTAGGTTTACATACAAGTCAGGTTTATCCCAACTGATTCCTTGTGTGTTCTTCACAATTGTTTTTCAGATTGGCATTGACATTCTCCTTCTTCTGCATCTCTTTTGTGCCGCTGCTTGCAAATCGCTTTTGACTACGTGAAAAAGATGCTAGAGATTTTAATTGAGTAATAGTATAGGTTGTTATTCCAATATGCACTCGCAGTGACATCTTTTACCACAGCAACTGTTGAGTACTGGTTTTCCACAATCGTCGTTCCGCTATTATGTGACATACTTGTTTTAGTCTTTCGTAGAACAAGTTCATTCTGTGTGTGTGTGTGGTTGTGGTGGGAAGGGNGGGGGGGGGGGGAGGAAGGGGAAATAAAAGAAGAATCAAATTCGGTTATTTTGGTTGAACCGTTCTGCATATGTCTATCTGCCCCAATCCGTGGATTAGTTAAAACGTGAGAAGAGGTAACTCGAGAGAACCAGGCTGGGTTCTCGACGATCACTAATATATGAGCAAAATCTTTACTCTGGTTTGGATGCTTTGGCACTGTTTTCAATTTCAACTATCTTAGTTTTAAGAAAACCACTATCTAACAAACTCACTATAACCATTTCTATCCTCATGTTCTATGGGATAGGGATCAAATACAGATAGAAAAATCACCTTTTAGTTGATAGTTTTACCCCCGATGCCGTATCGCCCCTCATTCACTTTAATAACCACTCAATGAACACCTGAGAAGACAGTCTGATGTGCATTCCCAAGCTGTTCTTCAGTTGTTGAATGTACTCCGGAATCACGTCCTCTTAACCCACTTCATCTTATCGACTGTTTCGCAAAACTATTTCCCTGATCGTCACGCACTTTCACCCAGCGTGAGTAGCCATCCAAAATTACTTAAATACCTTTGATAAACAATGGTGGAGTGTAAATGACAATGGTGTTTTTATTAAAATTCACGGTGATAATGTGGTTTAAACATTTAGTAATGACGAGTTCATCGAAATGCTTCTTCACCATATTTCTTCCTCATCGCCGATCGACCTGTCTGTTTCGCAATCGAATATCGTTACGCGCATACAGAAAGCTTGTTTGGTGTTTTCCAAAGTGGGTCGCCGCAACATTCACTTCACCATGAATGATCGAGTGTACACTACAGTAGTCCGACCTAAACCACAGTACAATGCCCATATATGGACATCACTCGTGGACATCGCCCGACTACTTCCCAACAAGGAATAGGTCTCAAGTGAACTAGGTTAAAAGGTTTGTACATGAAACAAATATCACCGACATTCTTTTCCTTTATTATTATTATTATTATTTCATTCTGCGTGACGAACAGTGTACATTTTTTTAAACTGAAATGTAAGCATATATGCTCACACAAGTTATACAAATACAGTAAACAGACTGTCATGTGTGGGACCAGTGTCTTTGCCACGCTGCAAGAGTCTGATAGCAGGACAAGCAACGCCTAAAGCTGATGGGAGTGTTTGATAGTCACGTTTACACACGAATACAAATGTCTGACCATAGGTTTCAGAACATTTGTTACGCATACCATTCTCTCATTGGATACTTTTTGTCTCTTAATAGCTGGTAACAAACAGAACTTTTCATTAATGTTTGATTTACCCACAACAAAAGCATCAATGAACAACATTCTGGTGACAATCACCCTCGAAATGCTGCTGTCAAGTTATTTTATATGAGTTATTTATCACATGAAACACTTTCCTGCTCCTTGATTCTGCTTTTGTTCTGCACACCGGTTAAGACGATCAACGATTGTTTTCGAAAATCAATGAGCTGCGTTCGTAATCGCTTCTTACATACTGACACCACAGGCCAACAGCAGCTCCGGTCACGCGAGTAACCGGAAGTCTTCAATTATTATTCTGATGTCATTCTGGCATAATCAATGGAACAGTGTCTAGTTGGTTTATTTTATTCAGGATTAGGTTGACTACACTCTGGTAAGCTGAGGGTGGGTTTCGCTCGTAAGCACCGAACAGTACGATCACACATTTCCATACAAACGTGAATAAGTCGAGAGGTCTGTTTGAGCTCTGGTCGCGAAAATTGAGCTTTCTTCGTTTGAAAATACTATCTAACCCAAATCGGTTAATGGAACGAGTTGTCTTCACTTGTATCCTTCCCCACTGGCTTTATGCATCTGCAGTTATCTTTCCGGATCTTTTAATCAAAGACTTCAAACTCATACGTAAATCGATCAAACACGTTTGTCGATACAGTGGTTGTGCCTTTTTTATTTCACAGCACTTTAGGGCTTACCGGAAACTTTCTACCAGGATACCACTAGACCCATCTCACTCGCTGTACTCTTACCTTAGTGAATGTATCCCCACATCTAGCACTCGCTCCAAGTATAAGGAAATAGCAGCACGCACCACAACACAAATCTTATGTAATACCGTACTTGGCACGGTTTCTTACTAACGCCGATCTTATCATTGGGTCCATTAAACACAAACTTTGCCAAATTTCCCTTATTTGTTTGTATATGCAGCGTATCTTCATCCTTTTTTTACCATGCCATTCTCAGAGAAGAGTGATTGTGTAGTAGCTGGATGTGCATCCTCTATGGGGTGAATTAAAGCCTCTTCTCGATTTGACTTGACAGTGTCATATCTATCGGTGACGCAGATGCAGTCGATGGTTGTTCATCCGAAAAACCGGAACCGATTCACAAAGAGCTTTGCACGTTTCGGTCGGGATTGTGCATAAGATTCCCGGGGCCAATTTACGGTTGTATTGCTGATCTTGCGATTGGCATTGATTTACTAATAATTGTTTTATACTTCTCAGATATTTGATTCAGTTGATAATTGTTTGTTGTTTGTAGTGATAAAACCTGAGGAACTGTCAATCAAATTCATAGTAATATACACTCACGTGCTATCTTTCTTACATACTCATACTTACCCTATATGCATTATGCTTTTGACCGCGATCAGTAACGTTCGCTTCACTGTATTCCACTCGTGAGTTTACGACCTTAATTTTAGCGTTTTGTTGATTCTACTCTTCATTCACGCTTTATTCTCGTCTAGGTGGGTTTCAAGCCGGCCGGTGGCTTAAGAACCGCATCAGATGCCTTGCAGTATCTGTCTCTAATTCACAACTATCTTGGCCCGGAATGGGTTCAGCCGGATCTGCTGAGATTCGGGGCCAGCTCATTATTGGGAAATATCGAGAGCAGATTGTACAGCCTAACACACCACGGGCAGTCACCGGTCGCCGG